TTGAGAGTGCACACCTCAGTCAAGATGCCTCCGAAGGGTCGGAGAGGGACCATGGCATCCGGGTCGCCTGTCCCGTCGAGATAGAGATTCTCCGAGTGCTGTTCCGATGATCTCCCAACAATAGCCCTCTCGTCACATGCATCATCCGTTGAGCCATCAGTACTATCGTGCCAAGCAATGATTCTTGCCCTGGTTTTCGCCATGGGTGTCACGCGCCTGGTTCGAATAACGCTTGTGCCTGCCGGGACATAATTGATGTGCCGACCACCAGCCGAAGAGACTATGCTCACCGGGACCCCGAGACTGACGACTTGCTCTTCGTACTCGGGGGCTCGACTTTCGCCATCCGGGGCATCAACACGGAGAACAGTGCACTCCACAGGCGGGAACCGGCGCGAGCAATTGGCGCACGGCACGCCGTCGTTCCGAATGATGCACTGCCAACGCGTCGTCAGCTCTTTCCGTTTGTCTGTGTATCACAAGCAACTAGACCGGACCCCCGGTCTCCCCACCGAAACTCGGCGCCGGCCCGGCAATGATATCCCACACGTACCTTCTGCTTTCGCCTTTGACACTCGGTGCACGATTTTTGCACTCGAGGCCGTCGCTTTGGGGCTAAGGATGATTCTGCCATGATCGTTCCCTGTGGTCGTTACGTGTACAGGCTTCTTTTGCTTGCGATGGTGAGGATGAGCTCTTCCGATGGGTTCAAAAGAGTTGGGCTGTGCGAGGTTTATCCATGGCCATTGCCCATGTCGCTGCCATGTTCAGCTCGGGCGCCACCCGGTCATGGGCCCTGGATATTTGCATCGTGGAGTCGCCAATCGGGGACCCGGCGAGACCGAGTCAGGAACCGCTCCGTGTTCTGAAGATGATGCTCGGTTTGGTGCATGAGCTGAAGGGTTGACGTCCTTTCAGGTCTAATCTTTGCCGGCCGGTTCAGCTTGCCCTTTCAGCTCTGTCTCGCGCTGCAAAGAGAGATGGAATTTGCCGTTGATGATCGAACGCCCGGTGGGGGGAGGGGAAGGGATCAGCCGCCCCAGGCGTTGGAGAAAACCAGGTTTTCGCGACCTTTTGTTCTTGTTCGACCCAGGTCTGACGGTTAGGTTAGCTTCACCGTTTGGAGTTCCAGGAGCGTGGTCACCGGAACATGTTCAGAGACATCCAGGGGCCGGCAACCATAAAAGCGCCACATCATGCACGTCGCATCTTGTCAAATCCCAGCCAACCGGTTTCGTATTTGGGTGTATAGTCTATTAGTACAGAGAAAAAGTCTAATGCAGAGGAACGAATCGCAGGAGCCAGCGCAAGCAATGAAGAATGAATGTAAGAAAACGAAACGCAACGGGCAACCGAGATGAGAGAGAGGTCATTGTAGAATGAAAAGACACCCCAGCGTGGGCGGGAAAGCAAGAATAGATTGAATCACATGGCCGAGCATGATTCATGTCCAGCTCCAGGCAGCATCAGCAACGGCTTCAGCTCGAGGCCTTCTTCTTGCCCTTGGGCATGCGGACGAGCCAGTAGAGAGCCAGCGACGCGGCGATGTTGAAAGCGATGTACACCATGCCGATGCCAAAGTCGCGCCATCGGTTGTCATATGACGCGCTGACAGCGTCGAGGAAGACATTCGTGTCGGCGATGGGACAGTAGTTGCAGTTCGACTGGGCAGAGGGGTCCGTGAGGTAGCCGCCCCAGAGCT